CTGCAGAATAAGCTAGACTTTGGAAAATGAAATTCTTTTTCTCCCAGGTGTTATATGTGAGATTACATACATATTTGTAGTAGGATGGATTTCCTTTAGTTCTCGAAAGGTGTTTTTAAAAATTTAATTAATTGCCAAAATTTAAAACTCAGGAGATTTCACATATAAACATACAAATGTCCAGATATCTGGGAAAAAGTCATAAGACCTAGGAACACTGTACATCAGGGCTACAGCATTAGGTTATGCAGGTTTGTACAACTAATCCTAGGAGACACGGATGTAATCAACACTTCTGCACATAGATTATAATGTAAATGGAGCCACAAAGGGTCTGCAGTGCACAGAAGGCAGATAGTCCCCTGAGGCAACAAAAGGCTAAGTCTAAACACTGACTACCCCCTTTAGACTGGGCCTGTGCTCCCTCTCAGACCCCACAGTTCCCAATTTATTCCTTGCTTCACTTGTGTTTTATGCCTGGCCCCTTAGGTGTTTGAGTTTACATTCCCTGCATTACACTTCTTTCCCTTCTGTCTGATGAAGTGGTTTGGCAGAAATAAAGACGAGTTATCCACTTAAACCTTTTCATGTCATAGGGTCAATTTTCGTGCACACACGTACATATTATGCAATAATTAAAGTATTTTTAAAGAATCATGAAGGCAGTACCTACTTCTGGTTATGTGATTAATAAAGGTCAAACTGCAGCTTTAATCCCCTTAAAATTGAGTTGAAAATATTATTTATATTGCTACTGTAATAGTTTTATAATATACTGATATTTCAGAGACTCTAAACCAAGAACAGAATTTCTCTGATGTAAAATGCATCATAAAAATGCAAATATATCTTGCAATTTTCAGCGTATTTCAATATAGTGATGCAAATTTTATTTAAAATAGCAATGTTTAATCTTCTAGAATAGAGGGACCAAGTGTGATTCTGATTTATGAATGTGTTTGTTTTCTTTAATTTGATTGTTTCTTAGCATCTTTTGTTCTGTCTATTCACAGACCAAAAGCTATTCTACAGAGATATTAGTGTCACAAATAAGGGTCATACATATCATGCAATTGATGGTTATATTTATTAGAAAAAGACTATAGTCATTTGAATGTTGTTGAAGAAACTAATACAAAACCCATCTGATAAGATAGATTATTTCAGCTTTCTTTAAATAACATATGGAAGAAGATAGATTTGTTTTTATTTTTTAGATTTTAAGTACGGAAACTGTCATTTTTTAATGGCAATGTTTTAAACAGTGAAATAAACTGACAAAAATAATTTTTAATTTTTTCAAAGAGATTATGGTAATTACCTGCAATCCCTTGAAATTTTGTTTATTGATCTGACTATAGAAAAACTGATACTTTTTTCTGTTGGAGACAACAACTATCTAGGGACATGGCAACTTGTACATGGCAAAAAGATTAATGTATTCTGGAAATCTCCAAAAAACTATAGACATTGAGAAGACAGTTAAAATATTATAAAACTCAAGAAAAATGTGAATTTTCCCTCAGAATGCAGTGAACACACTACAAATCAAAATGGTCAATTCTTATTCTAATATGGACAAACTTCAACTTGATAGTATTTCAGTTACAGATGTCATTTTATCCACGGTCTCTGGGGCGTAGGTGCTTGCAATTAGTAGAATATTCTAGTTAATTGAATGTTATTACATATAAATTCTGCACATAGATGGCTGGTTTTCAGGTTTTCAAAAGTGCACTGTATAAAAAGTTGTGTTTAACAGTAAAAACTAATGTAAATATAATCTACTTTTTTGTTCATGAATCAAAAATAAATTACCACATTCTCTCGTAGCATTATGAACCTAATGTACTATAAACACTGTCAATACAGTATAATACAGTATTAGGGACTGGGTCTTTGACATACATACCTAGTTATTAAT